AAAATGTAACCTTACAGGCCAGGAAAAAACATATGGTCTTTCAAGGGGGCCATCCTTATAAATCTGGGAAGTAGTAATTGAGCTGCTATATTGCCAATCCTCCCATACCCCTGCCTATAAATAATGACAGTAACAGTTTACTGCAGGGTTACAAAATGACATTCCGCTCCCCAGTGAATCATGTTAATCACTAAATTCCCGACAGTACGTTCAATGTGCCAGTTGCTCCTTGAGCTCAGAAATGTGTCCTAAATTGCATCAGTGCCAGTGTTTGTCCTCGGGTTTGATCCATGGCCTTTTGTTTGACAGTCCTGTAAAACTGTTTTTCGCTGGGAAAGTCTGTGCCCATGAGGAATAAAGGCCTAGTACGGCATTGGTTCCTGGAGAAAGAAATCCCCACAGGAACCAAGCTGAATTGTCAAATCATATGTTCTATATAAACTCCCATGAGCCTGTCTGAGAAGTTTAGTCTTGCACGTGGTTGTGAGTGCAGAGCTGCAGTTTCTACGTGACGTAACTCGCCTGTGTGTTCCTATCAAACAGCAGCACTCTTGCTTTAAGTGGCAGGCCTTTTAGACATACGTATGAAAAGGGGAAGGTAGAGGTGAGAGTGATCTTGTTATAACCTTCTTTTTTCTTTGTCATTCTTTCAAGGCTTTGGCCCACAAGACATTGGTGCTACTTCTTGGAGTAGATCCATCTCGACAGTTAGACCACCCTTTGCCAACGGTTCATCCCCAAGTGACCTATGCGTATATGAAACACATGTGGAAGAGCGCTCGTAAGGTACATATCATTGAGAGGCTGAGAATCTATTCCACACTCCATTGCTCATGTTTGTTTCTTGCAGTGTCCTAGTCACCAGCTTTCTAGTTCCCAAGCAAGAAAACCAGGACTGAAATTTTGTTCTTAAACTCTCCTCCCTAACTAACAAGTTTGTCTGTTTGGGAAGAAAAAACTTTTCAAACCAATTTTTATCTCCTGTGGTCAGACCTTCTCTGTAATAAACCATTGACAGTTTCCTGGAGGACACAGGCAAGAGTCATTTTCAGCAGGTTCACTGATGTCCTTGGAGCATTTACCACCCCATGCCTGATCCTATCACCTCATTAACAGGGTGTATTGGTGTCCATTGGGCTGTCCCTTTGGCCAAGATTCTGAGCTGCAGGAGGTGGAAGGAGCTGGTCAACCACACCATGGTTATGGTGAGATATTCACACATGTCCCCAACCATGGTAACCAGGAGGGAAACAAGAAAAATAGCCACAACCTGAATAATGAATGATCAAAACAGATTTGTGAGATGATCATGGATGAAAACACCCAACAGAAGAAGGCATCTAACTGCAAGACAGCTGGAAAACACGTAGGGATTTGTCAAGAGAGTCGCTTGGCTGTGGGGGACCTAGGATGAATGCTTCTGACATTGCAACACAGTGGGAATTTATAGACTCAAATCCAGTAAGCTGCAGACTGGATAACTTTTAATATATATTAAAACTTCTAGTTATTTTCATATTCTGCCCCATTTTTCTCATTGTTTCTGTCTGGACTTGTCAGCTCTGGGACAGGGGCCATTTCCAAGCACTTAGCCTTAGCACTTGCCACTTAAATGTAAAAAGCAGAGGGAGCTGCCTGCAACTCTGCTCTGCACAAGAGCCTTTTTTCCTTGCTCTCTCCAGTACATTTTTCTGAGGGGTAACTTCATTATCTGATGTCTGCCTTTAAGAAACAACCTCCGTTTGTCCCCATTTTTTCTGTTCTTCATCTTGATGGCAGACAAGGTGGAAAAGGCTGATGCAACTGTAGACAGCAGAATGAAAGTTGGCACAAAGGGTATCGCCACGCTGCACAATGCAGTGCCCTCGGGAAGTCCTTGAGCTAGCTCTAAACAAGAAGTAAAGCAAATTTGCTGGGTGGAGCCTAGCACTAGCATGACTGTACAACTTCCAAGATCTGGGCTAACAAGTATCCCTCCAGGCCCTGCCCTGTGCAGTATACACCTCTCCATGGAGGGATGAGAGAGAGGGAGCATATGGATATGTGAGTGGGTACGGGGTTTGTGAGGGGCTGCCTGTGGGGGGAGAGTGGCTGGGGTTTGTGAGGGGGTATGGGTATCTGTGTATATGGCAGTGCGGGGGGGGG